GCTCCAGCATCAACGTGGGGGACGGGAGCTGCACAGCTGGAGTGAGAAAAGCTTTGCAGAGAGTGGTAAAGGCTGCACAGAAGAATGTTGTAGTCTTTTGTGTAACCTCCAGATGCAGGAAGAGGGAAACCTGCATCATGAAGGATCCCACTCACCCAGCACACACACTTTTTGCCCCACCCCCTCAGGCAGGAGGCTGCGTAGCATTAAGTGTAGAACCACTAGACTGAGGAACAGCTTCTAATCTGAAGCTGCTAGACTCATAAATCTCTTACCAGAATAACCACTGTAATGGCACTTTAATTGGAGATTTGACACTATCTGTGCTGCTGATTTTGTTCCCATAAGCTGCAATATTCATACCATCTGCTCACTACAGACTCATGTTCAGGCTGCTGTTTAATACATTGTATTATATTACATTATTGTTGCTTAGCGTATGTCATAGATCCTTGTAGGCTGTTTATTTTTATAGTTTATAATATTGGTATTTATGGGTGTAACTGGGACCTTGAGTACACAATTTCGTTCCACCTCATGTACCACATGTGATGCGAATGACAATAAAGTCACCATGAACCTTGAATCCGATGGTAGATTATAGCGTAAAATGAACGGATTGATGGAGGTTCTGTTTTGGGAAACAAGCAATTGGCTGGGAGTCCGTCATGAAAATGCTTCTTAGAGAATAATGCATTTGTACTGTACTTTTTATTTTTATTTATTTGTCTGTACTTTTTCATTTGCATTTTTGAGTGCACTGATTCGTTGAGAGGTGGCACTTTGACATTTGTTAATGCCTCATTTCAAAACTCAGCTGCTCCAGAGCATGTTATGTTTCAAACACAAGTTGCCATGGGGACAGTCCCAGGTAAGAAGTTAACCAGCATCCTTATGCTAGAAATGCTGAACTGAGCCACTTTGAATGACCTCGCTAACCCTGCTTCACAGCAAAGGCCTTCGGTCTCAGTTTGTAATCGCAGCTGCACTCTGTCACCACAGGTGTCAGTATATTTAGACTTCCAGGTTTTCAATTGTGTGTTCACTGATCATTGTTTTCTTTTCAGTTTAGTCTTCTTGTATCTTTTGTGATGACTGGGTTTTTATAGGCACACAGTTTGTTGTTCAGTCTTTTGAAGATCATGCCTTTGTTGTGTCTTTTATGTTGAAAACATTTTATTACTGCCTACGCTTCTAGACTGATCAGTATTTGGATCTGTTACAATTTGGATCGATATACAGGGAGAATAATAAAGAACTTAAATAAATATATAAATATGTATTTGAAAAAACACAAAAATTGGCAGCATGGTGGCACAGTTGGTAGAGCTGTTGCCTCTCAACGAGCAAGTCACTTGATCAAATCCCTGTCCAGGACACCTTTCTGGGTGGAGTTTATATGCTTTCTCCATGCAGGTACTCCCGTTTCCTCATACAGACCAAAACATGCATGCTAGGCTGATTGGTAACTAAACTGTCCCTAGGTGTGTGTTTTCATTAAAGACCATTTAAGGGGGATTTTACTTTTAACATTGAGAAAATTAGAGAATGCCAGTGAAAAAACTCTTTATCCAGGAACTAAAAGTCATTTCCTCATCAATTCACCCTCTCTTTGACAACAAGTACCACATAGTTCCTAAAAACAACACATTGATAGATAAATGTCAAAAAAGGTGTTGGCAATTTCTATTTCTTGGTATCACCATTTCCCCCCACCCCAGGTTGTATTACGTACATTAAGTACGACTAGTGAGGATCATGTGATCAAATGTCTATTTAAGGCACAATAATCTACATATATGAGTATCGTGTTGTATTATTAGTGATGGTGAGGGAGTTTTTACAAAGATCAGGAGTTCAGACATCATATCAAAAGTAATAACATTTCATTGTGTCTTATCTGATCTTTGAATGCAAATGATACAAATTATTCACATTGATTTTTAATAAAAATTAATTATTTTTATTCATAGTTAGGACACTAGGAAAGATAGGATCACCAGTCATTTAACACTTTACTGGCTTTGTCTTCACTCTACCTCTCAATTTTTAATAAATTTATGTGAAAGTCTTCTTTAGAAAATTTTCAGGTGGAGTAAAAGAACATGATTCAGTGTTTTTGTTTTATTTTTATTCTGTTTTCTGGGGTCCTCATATTCTTTTCACTTGTTTCAGTTTGCCCAGAGATTGTCCTCTTCCTGCCTCGTCCACTCGCACCTGATCCTTGTCTTTCCACAGGTGTTTGTTGCTCTGGCTCAGCTTGTTTGACTCGGCCGTTTACAGGACATATTTTTATTCTGAATGGCTGTTTAATCCAATTTCTTATGTCCATGTAACCGTGGCTATTGTTTGGTCTTCATATTCTGCCTCTGCCTGTACAAATTAGTTCAGCATTGCTCACTGAAAGTGCCAGTTTTGACTCTGTGCTTCTGTTTATTCACCATAAGTTCTGTAAGAACTTCTGCTGCATGTCAGTGTGTTGAATTTGAAAGTAAATAAGCATGCTTTTTGAATATTCAAGTCTAGATCTATTTTTCTGCATTTAAGGTTTCAAAACAAACCTAAACTTTGACAGAGAACCATAAAAACATACATTAGATTTAGTTCATGGGTGGAAAAATAAAATCAACCATATAACACTGGATGCATTTTAAATGAGCTACTCTACCTTTTAATTTACTCTGGGTTACACATGGACTTGTTGCCATCTTAATAATGTAATTTATGTTATAATTTATTTAGTTTGATTCATCCATCCATCCATCCATTATCTTTACCCGTTTATTCCATTTTGGGTCAAGGGGGTCACTGGAGTCCATGTCCAGCACTCACTGTGAGAGAGGTGGGGGACACCCTGGTCAGGTCTCCAGTCCATCACAGGGACACATAGAGACAAACGAGACAAACAACCATTCGCTCTTTCACTCACACCTAGAGACAATTTAGAGTTACCAATCAGCCTAACATGCATGTTTTTGGTCTGTGGGAGGAAACTGGAGCACCCGGAGAAAACCCACGCATGCACGGAGAGAACATGCAAACTCCACCCAGAAAGGTCCCCAGACCGGGATTTGATCAGGCAACCTTCTCACTGAGAGACGGCAGCTCTACCAACTGCACCACCGTGCTGCCCTGATCCAGTGTTGAATTACAAAAAAAGTCACGTGAAAATAATTTTTATTGTAAACAAAACAAAAAACTTAATGTTCAGACGAGACAGAACAGATAAATTAAGAAAAGCTAAATCTGCACGTTTGGACATTGCGAGACAACAAAAGCACTCAGGTAAAGTCAGAAACAGCCAAACGTCTAGAGAGAAAGAGCTCCAGGATTTTCAGCAAAGAAAAAAAAGTCTCCTGGATCAATTTATCATATTACAAGGCCAATATAAAAAGACTAATCCATGGTGGCCAATAAAGATGATAGAGGATATAAATGATCTAAACCCCTCAATAATAAAAGAAACAAAATTTGAAAAACATCAGGAGTGTGGAGCTGTTCAGCCCTTAAGACGCAGCTAAACTAAGATCATGAAGAAGGATGAGAAGAAAATAAGGATAGTGACAGTTTGATAATGCATCACCTGTACAGATGGATTTATGTGGCAAAAAAAGATTTAAAAAATTAAAAAGACAGATAACGTGAAGTGCATAAAGATATTTTATCTTCCTTTGTCCTTGGAGCAAAGCTGATATGTACTTTTAAGTCACATCTGTCTTCTTACGTTCTTTGTTAACAGTTTGAGTTCAGGATGTCAATCACCCTAAAAAGCAGTCGTATTTAAAGATGGAAGAATAATTCACATTAAAGTATGTGAGTCGGTCATCTGACTTCAACTGGATCTGCATATCTGCAGCTGAAGACAAGAAAAAAGGAAGAAATCTGAACGCAGCTGCAGAAAAAACCTGTCAAAGCGTGACAGAGGAACTCATTTTCATTGGTGATGGGTGCAAAAAATACAGAACGTTACCTTACCACAGTTCTGATTGTGCACAAAATGAGAAATCCTAATGAAAGAGTCTAGTTGAAAGAGGACGGGTAACATTCCTTCACACGTTGTGTTGGTTTATTAAAGAGGCTGGAGCACAAAGACCTTTCAACAAAGCAAAATGAGTCATACATAGTTTCCACAGAGAGTGATGACCTGCTGATAATTCTCAATAAAGCCATGAACATATACATTCAATGTTTAATAGTAATAGGTTGAAGTAATAATTCCTGGATCTTTCCATCAAAAGAAGACTTTACAATTTAATTTGAAATGCTGCAAAAAGACTGTTGCTCCGTAACTGACTGCAACAGATTAACAAGTTTTAGTTTAGTGCCCAAATAAGGGCAGCCTAATGATTATTACTAGTTGTCAAAAGGCCAAAGGCAGGTGGTAAAATTTGTGCCTGTGCATGTTTGCATGTGTTTATTTGTTGTTTGTAAAATATCCCATGAACTACGAGAAGTTTTTAAAGAAACTTTAAGAAAGTAGTCATTGTATGTACGGTACATCTGTGACTTGTTGTCTTTTTATGTTCAAGATGGCCACCACAGCTAATCAAACCTTGCCAATGCAAAAAAAATAGCTATAACTTAGCCAATTTAAACCTACTGAGCCAAAATTAGTTGTAGTAGTAGCTGAGAATCATTAACAAGGTTTGACTGCAACAGTTAAAACGCTGTCTTTTCTCAACATAAGCTGATCTTAGTTTAAAACTCTGGCATGTCAGACGGTGGGTGATACCTCTATAAGGCCTGCTAGGTCTTTAATTTCTATAAATGGGTCAACCTGCTTGTATTTGATGGGTTTAATGCTCATTGCATTCTAAATCCTCCTCTTTAAGAGATTTGTTGTTCAGATTTGCACCGTTGAGCCAGAATGAACCACTTTCAGTCACAGTCTCAAAGAGGAAACATTGCAACGAAACTCTTCCGTGCAGCTTCATCTTCATTCTACACACATCAACCCTTTAACCTTCAATAGATTTTAGATTTTAAAATAACTTTAAAATAAATGATCCACTCACCAGTCCATCACATGTACTTATCGCTGCGCTCCCTTGAACAGTGGTATCATCCCAGACCTCACCCAAAAAATGGCACTGGGAGATCCTTGGATGATGGATCTTTGCTCCATCCAGGCCACCGTACCTCCGCTCCGTCAGGAAGCCCGGAGCCAGCAGGTTTGGATTCAGGGTGAGGTTAAAGTGCAAACGATGGCTGTCATGGAGGAACTGGTAGAAGACTCTATCTGTGTCTATTGTTATCTCCGAGGCCTCCCGACGCCGCACTCGACGAGTATGCTGAGACAGAGAGTTGGACAGGAAGTGGCCTCTGGCGTCAACACTGACAGGGTGAACCACTTCATATGGAGGGAGGTCTTGCAGAAATCTCTCTGTGAAAGCCACTGTGAGAAAAAGGAGTGTAAATAAACAAGTAGGTGGTTGTAGAGCTGTAAACAAAACAGAGAGACTAAACTAAACCACATGGAGGCACTTTTTTCAGTCAGAACAGCTTCTTTTCTCCTGGGCGCCACTCTCACACTTCAAAGTTGATTTTCTTTTCTTTTTTGCATTTTACTTTCATGTGCTCCAGGTTTTAAATGGCTTGTGAAATGCATTCTTCAAATAAATATTGTCCTCTAATGTCCTCTGATCTGGAATGGCTGAATCAGAAGTAGCTAGCTGAGTGGCGATATGAAAGAGGAAGGAAAATGTCACTTCACTACCAGGATAAGTGGGGGGTTTTGAATATTTATATATAATTATATATAAAAATATTTATATATTATATTTATTATCAATAACTATCCCTGTGATGGACTTGCGACCCGTCCAGGGTGTACCCCGCCCCTCGCACAGTGATTGCTGGACATGGGCACCAGCAACCCCCGTGACCCAAATTGGAATAAGCGGGTAAAGATAATGGATGGATGGATGGATGGATCAATAACTATATTAACAAGAACGAGAGAAATTGCATTTCATGTGAAAATGAAGTGTGAATGCTTATTGCTGAAGAACTTGCTGAAAACAGCTGAAAATAACTAAAAACATGCTGAAATGTAGCTGAAATGGAAGAACAAGCCCAAGTTAGCAGAAGAAAGCAAAAAAAAATAACTCATATTTGCTGAATTTGGTTTAAATAAGCAAAAATGAGAAGGGCTGAAATGAGATAAAAACATGGAATTAGCTGAAAAGGCTAAATTTAGCAGAAAACAGCTAAAAAGTAGCTGAAAGAGCAGAAAAAGCTGAAAGGAGCATAACAAGCTGAAATGAGCAGAAATAAGTTAATTTGGCTGAAAGAGGCAGAAATTACAACAAAAAACTAATTTACCGTATCTGAAAACTTCTGAAATTAGCTAAAAAAAAAGTAGCTGAAAAGGTGGAACAATCTTAAATTAGCAGAAGAAAGCAGAAATAACATGTTTGCAGAAAGAAGCAGAAATTAACTTATCTGAAAAAGCTAAAATTAGACCCCCCAAAAATGTTGAAAAGTAGCTAAAAAGCAGAAAGCAGACATTACAAGAAGGAAGTGGAGAGAGCACATTTTTGCTGAATTAGGCTGAAAAAAGATTAAACGAGTGCAAAATATGTGGAATTAGTTGAAAAAGTTTAAATTAGCATAAAAACAGCCAAATAGTAGCTGAAATAGTAGAAAAAGCTGAAACTTGAAGAAGTGAGCTGAAAGCAGCAAATCAAGCTGAAATCAGAAAAAGTTAGAAGAAGCACAAAAATGTTGTAGTTAGTAGAAACAATCTGAAAGGAGCAAAAATCAGCTGAAATTAGCTGAAAGTAGCTGATTTTATTTTTTATTTTTTCACAAGGAAGCTGAAAGAAGCTGAAGCAGAACAAAATGTGAAAGGAGCAGTAAAAGGTTGTAAACAGATCTAAAGATTTGAAGGATGGAAAATGAGCTCAATTAATTTTCTATGAGGGAAAAAAGTCAGAAAAGGCTAAATATTTCAAAATGCTAAAGTTGCACCAATACCAAAAGTCAGCATCCTCACCTGAACGAGCTGAACGTTTTGATTTATGATTAGTTGAAATAGCTTAAACCTGTGGGACGAGAATCACAACAAAAACTGTACGGAAGAAAAATGGATCACGATTGTGTGAATGCTTCGTGAACATTCACACATTTAATCATGTAAACAACATCATATAGACATAAACGGAGCTACAGGTGCATTTTATTTATGTTCTTTAATTTTGTTGTGTTCTTTTGCTTCTAGAAAGTTGTTTAGTTCAGTCTTTAAACAGATACACGCTCTCTATCCTGAACAAGATGATGACAGAAGTTCTTTTAATACTGCTGATGAAGTCAGTCTGTAGTTAACACTCGCTGCCGAACTAATTTACTTAACTCGATTCAAGATGAACGCCACAGAAAACCAATCCAAGTAAACACAAAAAGGGCTTTAACTCAACCAGGTTTACAAATACTGACCTAAGGTTCAGTGTGGCAGTAGCTGAGCATCCTGAACTTTAATTACAGAGAGACTGTGTGACCTCTTTGCAAAAAATAAAATAAAACATAAAAATGATATAAACTGTTGGAGGCAAGCTTAGCTGTCTGTTAGCAAAATATTTCATATACCATACAGCAGATTTGAATGAGATTCCCAGAAAGTAACCATTGGATTTACATCCACAACTGATGGACTTTAGAGTCAGCCAAAGTCAAGAGGACAGCTGTGGCTAATTCACATTTACATACAAAAAAAAAAAAAAAAAGGCTAAATCTGAGTTTTTAGCCACGCATACTCCAAACACTAATAGATCACGCAAGATATGACTAGAGATTACACATACTGTATTAACTCAAACAACTCTACCTTCATCGTTTCTTAACATTAGATGATCTTAGTATGAAAATCTGTCAAAGTCAGAGCTGCTGCTCGGCTCTTAAAGAAGGTGCAGCTCTGCATCAGACCCGTCTCCAGGTTCATTTAGGATGTTCCCCGATTGTTCACCACGCTGCAGGGCTGAACGAAAACTGCTGAACCAACTTAGATCGAGTCTGACTACTGAGATCAGAAACAGAGCATGAGACATTTCAGTTACTTCTCTTGGTGTTTCACACTTTGAGTATAAAAAACATTTCTTCCAGATAATGACGCCTTCAAAAGTTTTAGTGAGTGGCTTGTTTAAAAGCTAATAAAGATGTTTATATAAAAGAGATGAACAGAATTTTTTGTAACCGTGTTTCTTCAATTTAAATTTTACAGCAAACTTTACCTTTACAGAAGTCCCTCGTTTATCACGGGGCTAAGGGGACCACGCCCCCACGATATGTGAAAAACTGTGAAGTAGGGATCAAGTAGTCCAATTTCAAGTTTCACTCACAATCCTTCTGTGTAAATAAACCATTTAAATTTAAATACTGTAATATTTTAAATCAACAATCCATGCAGCATGGATTGTTGATTTAAAATATTTAAATTTAAATTTTAGAGAAGAGAAGTGCAGCAGGACACCAAAGGATTAACAGCTGATGCAGCAGCAGCACGGAGCAGAAATGTACTTCTTGATCCATTCCACTATAACAACTGAGCATAGACGAATTAATTAATAACTACCACAACCTGGTTTATCAACATGCAAAGAAGACGCCCGCAGCTAATTTGGCCCTCATTAGGCTGCTGCCTATGTGAAGGTTGGTTTGTGCTCGGAGGACCCGAAATCAGCTGATTTACAAGCTAAACCGTAAGATGGAAGTGATTTGAATTGCAGGCCACCTGCGGCTTTGGGACTCGTCATCATGAAAATGACCTCGAAGACGCTCGAAGCACGGACCAATAGAATGCACCCTAATCTGGCCATTTCGGATCTTGGAAGTACCAGTAAGACTCAAAGTCTGACTGAATAAATCAACAATTGTGGCTTATCTGAATCTGACTCCCCGGTTGGCCTCAAAACAGGCCGACTTATCAATTTCTCCTGGGAAATGTGTAAAGGAAAAGCTTTGTCTACCCCACCCCCCCTCCCCCTTCTGTGGATGATTATCATTACTGTGCTGGCTGACCATTGTCTTATCAGGACAATGGACTATCTGTTAGTGCTTCATGGACTGCCTCGTCGTCAAATGCATATGTAACGTGTTCATAAATGTGCTTAGCTAGCAGAGATTTTTAATGTCTTAAATCGTGTCCTGTTAGGACAAGGTGTGAAGGGATCTTTTGTTGTAATGCCACTATCCTCTCCTCATGGCTTTGTCCCTTTTTCTATCTAAAATATGTATTCTGAAAAGGATAAGAGGCCGCGCTATCATAGCGGCAGCTACGTGCACTCCGCCCATCTTTCGGACGACTGTACGGACATATTCTCGTTGTATCTCGGTACAATGATAATAAAGCTTGTTCTGATTCTGATTAACACTTTTATATTTTGTGATTATGACGATTTTACGATGTGACAGACTTTGAATTTTAAGTTGGAAAACAAAAGTCGATCGGTGCAGCTGGACAGCAAAGGGTTAACCCTTCAAGCAGCTGATTCAGCACGGAGCAGAAATGTGTGGGTGGCAGAGAGAGGAGACCGTGACAGGCTGCAGAGGGAGCTTCTCCCTGCACCTGTGGGCGGCACAAAGGTGCAGCAGGTGCTAAATCATTTAAAATTATGTATTTAAATAAACAATCTATGCCGCTCATGTGGCTCATCCATCAATCAGCCAATTACATTTCATGTCCACTCTTACTTTGAAAAAACGCAAAAGAGCGAGTCAGAGAAAATCGAACCGCGAAGTAGCGAGGGACTACTGTACAGGCTAAAATGACTCTAAAGCTACTATTTGGTGATGATCCTATGAAAATGTCCCAGCATTAATCAACATGCTGTGAGGGAGATGAGGTGGAAGCACATTTACAACAATAACTGACATTATCTCTGTCTGTCACAAATAAATGCCTTTTCAAACAGTCTCACTTCATCAATATCTCTGCTCCCGTCATAGAATCAGATTAAGATTACATGTCTTTAAATAAAATAATATACAGATACACAGCTGGGATTCCCAAACCACCTGACTCTCAACAGGTTTTTACTATTACTTTTTACAGTTTCTTCTCTGATTTTTTATTATTATTATTATTTTATTCAGCAATTAGAGAAAAACTTTGTTTTTTTTTTGTTTTTTAATCTAGTCATGATTTAGGGACAAGCTGAACCAAATGAAGCAAAAACTGTCAAAGTCTTTTGTTAAACAAATGTAGCCTTTGGATAAAAGAAAATGGATTAAAGTTAATAAAAACAAATGCCATTTTTCACCATTGATTTTTTGCTTCAAACAATAAATAATGAGTTGCTCTGAGGAACAAGGTTTATTTATTCTCCTGGCTGCTCATGCTTTTAATAAATGTTTATTAGTAGTTGGTGTTTGTGACTCTGATTTGATGCTTCAGCTGCATCTTTTCTTGTTCTGCTAAATGATGAAAGAGTGTGTGCATCAAACGAATGTCTGCAGCTGTTACTAAGGATGTCATGGTCCATAGGTTCTCACTGGACAGGCAGCTTTTATGTTCAAGTAAAAATGTAGAGGAAAAGACAAAGCTGGAAGAAATCAGAAATGAAAGAAACACACAGCTGCTATACCAAATGAATTATCATGGTTAGTATTCTTCTGTTATTCCAGAACATGAAACCATCCATCCATTATCTTTACCCGCTTATTCCATTTTGGATCACGGGGGTCGCTGGTGCCCATGTCCAGCAGTCACTGTGCGAGGGGCGGGGTACACCCTGGACGGGTCTCCAGTCCATCACAGGGACACATAGAGACAAACGAGACAAAAAACCATTCACTCTCTCACTCACACCTAGGGACAATTTAAAGTTACCAATCAGCCTAACATGCATGTTTTTGGTCTGTGGGAGGAAACCGGAGTACCCGGAGAAAACCCACGCATGCACGGAGAGAACATGCAAACTCCACCCAGAAAGGCCCCTGGACCGGGGTTTGAACCAAGGACCTGCTCGCTGAGAGGCAGCAGCTCAACCAGTTGCGCCACCGTGCTGCCCCTTTATGAAAATAAATTAAGTAAATATAAAGTTTTCTTTTGTGTTTCTTAGGGGAATGTGAATCACTCTTGTCTGCCCTTGATGCACTTGTTTCATTTCTCATTGGACAAAGTCACGTGCTTTCTTTGCTCATCTTGTCTAAAAATGATGCCAAAAAACTGGTTCATGCATTTGTCACGTCTACACTGAACTATTGCAATGGTTTATTATCTGGGTGTCCAAATAATTCTTTAAAAAGCCTTCAGTTGATCCAAAATGCTGCAGCCAGAGTCTTAACTGGAGTTAATGGGAGAGTTCATATCTCTCCAGTTTGAGCTTCTTTCCATTGGCTCCCTGCCAAATTCAGAATTGAATTCAAAATCATTAAGTAAGTAAAACTTTATTTCTTTAGCACCTTTCACAAACATATGGATCACAAAGTGCTTCAAAAAGGCAAGACAATAATTTAAAAAAAGAAAAAAAAAACAAAACAAGATTTAGTAAAAGCCTGTCTGAATAAAAATGTCTTTAGTTGTTTCTTTAAAAAGTCTGTGAGCGTAGGGACAGTGGGAGAGCGTTCCTGAGCCTCGGAGCCACTGCCCGAAAAGCGCAGTCTCTACGGGTTTTAAAACGGGTTCGGGGTGCAGTCAATAATATTTGACTCGAAGACCTCAGAGTCCTAGATGGAGTTAAAGGATCCAAAAGGTCAAGAATGTATCTAGGAGCCTGGCTGTGGATAGCCTTGAAAATTAAAACCAAAATTTAAAAGTTAATCCTCAAGTGCACAGGAAGCCAGTGCAGGGAGGCAAGAACAGGAGTTATGTGCACTGATCTTTCTTCTAACCTACAAAGCTCTCAACAACCTAGCTCCATCTTATATTACAGATCTAACTGTTCTATATTTTCCTAACAGAGCACTTCACTCTCAGATTGCAGGTTTACTCGTGGTCCCTAGAGTTTCTAAAAGCAGAATGGGAGGCAGATCTTTCAGTTATCAGGCTCCTCTCTTGTGGAACCAACGTCCGGTTTCTGTCTATGAGGCTGACACATTGTCCAGTTTTAAGACTGGGATTAAGATTTTCCTTTTTGATAAATCCTATAGTTAGTATGCTTGATTTCCTGCCCTATTCCTTATCCTTTGCTGCTATAATCTTAGACTACTGGAGAACAAATTGACATCATTTAATCAAATGTTTCTTGGAATATCTTGCAAAAAGATGTGAAGTTCTCAACCTTGACCTCTCTAAAGTGGCTTTAAACATCTATTAAGTTCATGGCAAAAAACAAAGCAGACATGTTCCTGTTTTTAGTTTGCTACACCGCCTTATAATCTAGCTGGGTTTTTTTTGTTACTTTTTCCTTTTGACTGTCCTTTTGATTGCAATTTATTTTAATTTGTAAAAGATAAAAAAAATAAAAATGTATGCCTTTTTTATGATTGTCTATTGTCGTTGTTATCCATTGTTGTCATCACTCTTTGTTAAAGAAATCAGGTCTCTCTTGTAAATGAGTCCCTGAGGCTGAATGGGATTAACCAGTCTAAATAAAGGTTGAATGAAAAAAAAAAAAAAAATTGTATTTGTAATTATTCTTTCTTAACACGTGATTCTGTCTTTTTGTCTTTCCTCCTAGAGAAAACCTGATGGCCTCCTTCCTGGACCTGCCATTGTGTATCTGTTCCTCCTTCCTGTTGCTCTCAAACCCATCCAGTTGAAGCAGATGACCATTTGTCCTGAGCCTGGTTCTGCTGGAGGTTTCTTCCTCATGAGGGAGTTTTTCCTTTCCACTGCTGCCTCTGTGCTCGCTTAGGATGGGAGACTGCGACGAAGTGAAAACTCAAAGCAATCCGTTTGTTCTTCAGATAAATAATGTTATTAACCGACTTTATATGTATGTGACTGTTTCTGTTCAGTGGCCTGAGACGACTTCTGTTGTGGTTTGGAGCTATGTGAACAAACTGAATTGAATTGAATTGCTTCAGAGTTCAATCTTTGTGCTTTGCTGCAAATTGATACCTTTTGTTTTGAGCTGCTTCACTGAGAGGAAGTTTTCCAAACGTTGCAAAACACTTCAAATGTTTTCTTTAACATGCATGTAAAAATGCTCCCATTGAGTTCTAACGAGGATGGGTTTTTGTCTTTTATTTTCCAATTAGAATCACTCCAAATAGTTTTTCTGATCACTTCTCTTTCTGGAAAGCAACAGTTCATCTTCATCCTCTCGTGTCTTCTTTGTGCACAGAGACACGTTGGATTTTCTTGGTCGTTTCGTTGGCTTGACGCAGACCAATAATTTCATCCTCCTGAATCTGAGTCACATCTTTTCCACAACCACAGGATGTGCGTTTGCTGATGTGATATTTTGTTAATGAAAAGCTTCTTTCTGCATCAGTTACTTGCTGCCTGCTGAAATATTTTAATCATTGCAATGCTTTCCAGTGGGAGGCTCTTATCTAGGAGCTTACGTAAACGCAGATGGTGGTTTTTATGTTCACTCTATTGAACTTTAGCAGGCATCTTCGTTTAATTACTCTTTAATTCAAGCATAACTCTGTAAACCTCAAATATTCTTGAGCGTTCAGTGTTTAGCAAAAGTCATTTTCAACAATAAGAGTAAAATTTCTGAGTAAAATATGAAACTGCAAGATGTTTAAACAACTTAAAATATCCCATTTCCCTTTAAAACAAAATAATATTTTATTATGAGTGAGTAGTTCCATCATAAATGATGTCTTACTGACATATATTGAGGCACAGACTCTCTGAAGGACAATTACTCAGAAAAAATTAGCTAACAAACAAATGCAGGCACACACTCGCACACGCACA